TTAGCCCAGTTCGGAGCAAAACAGTAGGACGTTAAACCCCATTTCATTTCATTTCATTTCAGTCTTTGTGTGTATGCCGGATGTGAAACGCAGTAGAGACGCATTACAAAACAGTATCCTAATTTTTAGATATGGCGGTCATTCAGGACAGAGATTTACTCTCAAAGTATGCTGTAGATCGATCTCTGTATGCAGAATGGCCACCAGGTCTTATTTCAATAATTTTATTTCGTCAGTCGTTAAATCAGTATTGGATTTTCTCTAAAAATCTCATTCTGGCGCAAATTGCATCACACCAACCAGATCAATGGAGAAACCTTGTAAATATTATATAGATCAATTGTAGAAGTACACGTTATTAAAATCATTATTTTTAACACGAGTAATAAAAGTCGGGATAAATCTTGATATCGACACACGAAAACTAATTACGTTATCGCACGATAAATCAAAACCCCGATCAAATTGTTCTGTTTCATCCAATATCCGAACTTTTTTTATATAGCAAATTATCCATTGTGAATTAACGAGTCTCGAATATCTCGGAAAACTTAATAAAATGTTATTATTAATATGGAATGATCTACTTAAAGTTACAATTTCATATTTTTAAAATGTATTAAAATAAAGCCATAAAATAGATGGTATCTATAAACAGTCCCACCTTGTTAAAAAATAATCCTATTAATCCTATAATTCACTATTGCCAGCTGAGAAATTGGCAAAAATATCATTTTTAGCTTCAAATTCAAACGTTTGAACATAGCTATTCCATGGAGGTAATAGGAAAACAAGGGGGGTAATTGTGTTATTATTTCCTGTGTCAATGATTTTTAAGGGTGGGAAATAATGCCCATGATCGTATAATAGTGAGTTGATAACCTATTGAGCAAAAGACATAGATATAATTATGTTTTGACTTTCTCAGAAAATATGAAATTATCGCTTTAAGAAAGAACTTATATCTTTGGCAAATGAATAAAATATTGTTCGAATTGAATTAGATGATTCCCTGTACTCGCGTAAAATTATTTGGACAATTTTCAATAATTTATAAAATGAAGGTGAACGTAAAAGTCCAGGAACGGACGAACGAACTTTGGGGACACACCTACCAGGAATTAACTAGATAGGAAATACGCTCATTATTCTGTCAGCTGTCCACGAGTTTTCATTAAATTAATAGCTGAAGGTTTAATTTATAGCGTAACGTCTAATCAATAGCTGAACGTTTAATTAATAGCGTAACGTCTAATCAATAGCTGAACGTTTAATTAATAGCGTAACGTCTAATCAATAGCTGAACGTTTAATTAATAGCGTAACGTCTAATCAATAGCTGAACGTTTAATTAATAGCTGAACGTTTAATTAATAGTAACTGGTTTAACTACAATATTGTGAAATTTGTATTTTTTTGTATCATATTAATTTTTACCTTGTGTTTGATAACGACAAGAGAATATTTGTTGAAACGTCGTGTAATGCTCACATTGGCTTTCTTTTTTTTTTCTCTGCCAAAATGGATGATAATTTTTATCTACAAAAATGCAGCAATTTTATTTCTCAGGTGGGCTTATTATAAAACAATAAGTGATATAATTACAGTCAGGTAGGACTGATACTAAACAATAACCGGTATATACAATATACAACAACTTACAAAATCCGTCTTTACATTAGTCCAGTTTTCAGATCATATTTTATATCAGCGACACCGTATTGCACAATAAATTTCAGTATTAATACATCAATAAGGATAGCCAATTATCTATAAATTTATGTTTTGCGTGTACAATAGGCCTATTGTTATTTTCAGGTACCGTAAAGGTATCTGAATCTGAATCCCTGATAGAATGATAATAAATTTCAATCTTATTTGTAAGAGATTCTTACAATTGTACTTGCCGTTCACTTTAGAGCATTTTGGCGGCGGTAATATGAAGCAAATGGCGGACCGTTTTTTCACTCGAGAATCGTCGCTATTCAAATCGTACTTACTTTTCTTACCAATCGTAGAATTTGAAATAAAAATACCAGATTAGGCACGCTTGTATAATGACGCCACAGTAAACGGAATTCATCTATCAAAATATTTAATTCTCTTCGGAAAGAACTGTCGGCCATTATGGCTTAAGACAGACTTGTTGGCAATTATCAATAAATTAATCATTAATCCGAGACACTTTTGAAGTATTACTGATTGATAAGATCCGGATTATCAGCTAATTGATTAATTCATAGTAATCCACCACGTGATTGACACCCAATGTAAATGTTAATCTAGGTTATATACGATCAGATTTTTTTGCCGCCAGTTCTCAAAAAGAATCGCCAGTACATCCAAAATATTTTCACCAAAATAAAATTTTAATTGGCACTTTTATATTTATATCGCAAATTGCGAGTTAGGCGACTCGTGTGTTATTTCAATGTTTTCCTATTAATAGATACCTTTCATGCATTACGTAAGAGCTAAATCGAACTATTTTTTTTGACTTCAAATATTTTGGCATTAACATGGCAAGCCTACAATCAACTCTCTAGATTATCGGATTGCAGGGATTAGAACGCCCGAGAGATTAAAATATTTAATGATACAATGGATAATCGAGACTTAATCTTGTTTGTCCAGTACCGTTGCTACGATAATAAACAATCTACGCTACAAAAATATTTAAGGAATTAAAGACAAACAATTCACAAATTCATCAACATTTTGCAATTTGATCGATTTTCGAGTAAAGCCTGGGTTTAAAAAAATATCCCTTTAAAAAAATGTTCGTAAAACGAATTCAACACTATTATATGATATGGAAGTGAATTTTTATAACCGGGCAATAACGATTGAATTTCGAGTAAAGTCTGAGTTTAGAAAAAATATTCGTTGAATTGGGTATTTTTCTTAATTTTGAAATTCTGATTATTATCAATAACACCGAATGCAAAAAAAAAATGGGTTTGTATTTAGTGAAGATATCCTTTCACATGTCTGACCGGAAATAGAACAAGAGACGTATTAATCAAGTAATTTCCGCCATCTTTAGGGTTCACCATTCATCGTATTAATACGCATATTATCAATGAATTTTAACTACCCTAATCAATATAAAAAGTCTCCATCCTCCATTTGAAGGAGAAATTAGTTTTAAGGGATGACTGACTTGGAATAATTGATCTTAAATTTAAGGAATCGCCGCGAAACGAGAAATAAATCAAGCCATTATATAAACGTCGGAATCTATTCGCGTGGATAATTTGAGAAAGATTCGAGACATGCTTCTTCCGATTACAGAGAAAAACACTTTTCAACGGTTCTTCATATTGATCGAAAATCAATTCTGAAATGAAATCGATCTGGAGATGTCAACATATTAAAACATTTCACCTTTGAGTAATGAGATTCGTTATATATTTGTTCTAGCTGGTATTCAAAGGATGGAATCCATTGGACGAAATAGCAAGTGGGGAGGATGGGGAAGCAAACAATCATAAACATCCGCTGCCGAAAGAATCCATCTGATTAAAACATATATCCTATTCCATCCTATTCACAATACGAGACCACCGAAAGTACTAGTATAACAAACCAGATTGCCAAAAACTAAGTCAAATTTGTTTCCATGGAAACACAAATATTACTAAATGTGATACATTTCTTTTTAAACAACAGTCATAAAATAGGTTAATGTGTGTACATAAAGATATCTTGAACGGTTTAGGCTATACCCCTGAAACCCAGACAAAGGATGAACAATTCAATATCCCTTTTGTTCGGCACGGGATAAAAGGTAGGGAGAGAGAGAGATAGATAGAGAGAGATAGGGTTTAACGCCTACTCGACATAAACTAGGTTATTTTGGGACTAACACATGGTTCAGTTTTATTTCAAAAATTCGCTTGTGCGTGAGGGTCTTTAGCAGTGAGAGGAAACCACAGGACCCAGAGAAAACCCACGAAGTTAGAAAGGCGACCCTACCGCTTGTCACGTACAACAGGGGAATCTAAACCACGTCAGTTGATTCAATGACAGACTTTATGATACAACGCGTACAGGCTAACCATTCGGACATCTACCCCCCCCTATAAAAGGTGGAAGTACGTATCTAATATCGCACATCTAAATACCAAGGTGTTGTAAAAATAGGTTACACAACACGAAAGGCCCATTTTGAGACGTATTATTTTCATTTAGGGTCAATATTGTATTCGCCTGCGATACCATCAGCAATTTATTTGTGTAGCCTATACATACTGCCCATTATCGACCATGCTGGGAGTTTCAAAGATATTGTACTTGTCTTTTACACTGGGCGAATCCAGACGAAAATCTGAGTGCACGTTTTAACCATGCCCGTTAAATACCCCCCTACCCCACTCAATCCCCCCCTCCTCCCAAAAAAACCACGATATTTTCTAGAAATTTAATGATAACGAGAAGGATTATGGCCGTTTGTCTGTAAATTTGTAATGTTCTTATGGATAGCTGGGTCCAAAACAAATTATACCTTTGCTACGCTGGGTGCAAAACACATGTTAGTATGGCTATGTGGCTCCATCCCGACACAGTCTGGGCGTAAATGACAGTGTCGACAATATCAGCCAACGTTTTCCCAATAGCGGGCCCCTTGTGATATTTTGCAAAACTCCGAATGATCTCCACCCCGCTCTGGAGTTACCCTGCCCAGTCAAGGGCAACCAAATTAAGGGGCTTAAGGCCACCCTAACATATGCCACCTTAATAACAATTCGATTGGCTATCTTGTATCACGAACCTCCTAATTCCCTGTGGACCCCGTTGACTTGGGGAACACTACCAAAGAGCGAAGGTCCATCGCTTGGTCATCTTGTTTGACGAACCTCCTAATTCCCCGCGGACCACCTGCGTACCAAGTTGACTTGGGAAACACTACCATAGAGCGAATATCAACCGCGTAGCACAGTAATTTCACTAACGGGTTTAACAATGTTGAGAGTTTGATTTCTAACACAATGCAATCAATTTTTAGAATAATAATTGGTAATATTTTGACATTGTGATTATACACATATACAGATACACACATTAACATCAACTTCCAAATCCTTCACTAGATGTCTCGAACTTCAACGTTTATATTCCACATAATATCCTTCTTATCCTCGGAATTAACATCCAGACACATATATTAAAGCCCACGCCAGATCTCTCACTAGATGTTAAGAACACCAATCTTTGTATTTTCACAACCCGGCGTCTTCTCCCCGGAGTTGCCTTTAAAATACATGCATTAAAGCCCCCCCCCCCCACACACACACGAAATATTTCACTAGATATTAAGCACATCAATCTTTATATTCCACAACCCCCTTCTTCTCCTCGGAGTTACCCTTCAGGAGATCGTAGGCACCAGATAGTTTCAGATCTCTGTACAAGCAAACAGCGATAGCTAACGCAAACATATAGATACCAGCTTCCATGAGATACGCCGAACCAGCGTAAACGTGAACAGTAGCTCCATATACATAATTAAATACAACGGAACCGATTACTTTAGACCCCGTTTCAGCACAGGCCAAAACAGCGAAGGCTTTCCCTATCTCGCTATCATCCACATTCTTACTGACTAAAGATCGAACTGCAGATACGATCATTCCTCCCAAAGCTCCGATAAGAACTGATGAATATACCATCCATGTCTCGTAACAGAAACCCGCCCAAAGAGAACGCACGAGCTTGCAGCAGATACCAATAATTACTATAACCGTGTCCGGGACTTTACCGTAGGTTGATAACACCGGAGTCAAGATCATGAGAGTTGCTCCCATGGCCGTGTAGTCCAGGGAGAGGAGGTATCCATACCAGGACGTCGGCCACTCCAGAGGATACTTCTTCACGAAGAGCACCGTGACATCCTGATCTCCGACTTTACATGTTTGGTTCATCAGGGTTATGAAGACTAATGTTGTGAAGACTCGGGTGGAGTTGACTTTACTCAATTTCATTTGAACTGTAAAAGATTCCCGTAATCCCGTGGGAGTGCACACCTTACAAGAGCTCTCCTGTGTCTTTTCCTTGGAAGAATCTGGATCCGTGTCCTTGATGAAAGCAACTGTGGTCAGTACTGAGAAAGCATGAAGGAAACAGACTACGGTAAATGTTGTCTTCAGGTCTGTGTATTCCTGCAGAGTGCCAGAAAGAAGCGAACCAACGAACAACCCAAAATAATTCATAGCCAGCAAACGGCTTAGTGATCCCGTTCGGTTGTCTTGATCTGTGATGTCGGAGACGTAACTATTCACTGCCATGGTTATAACCGAACTTTTACCAAATATCCCTTGAACTGCCGAACCGCACATAATCAATACAAGAGTCCAATCAATGGAGCGTAAACTGGCCACATATAACAACACCGCGAACACACTGCCTAAACTGGGAATCATCATGGGCAACTTCCGGCCATGATGGTCACTCCATGCTCCCCACACCAGGCCTAAGAGAATGGCGGGGACGTTAACAAGAATCCGATAATAGATCAAATAGTTGGAGGCTGCGCTCTGTATGTCTTCCTGTTGTCCTTGCGATTGCATCGATGTATCGTAACAAATCGTCACATTATCACGATATCTATCCCGACAAACTGCTTGGATGATGTACGGACGAATCGTGGCATCTAACATCGACTCTCCGGCTTTGTACAAGAAAAATATCAAACCAGCAAACATTATCTGTTTGGAGCAACACTTAGATGCCATGATGTCCAGATCACTTCAAAACGTCGTACAAGAAACTTTTCTAATCCACAGTTCAGAATATCGTATATCCTCTTAAACTTATAATCCTTTAAGAGTAAGAATCTCAGACGAATACAGAAACACACAAATAATTTCACCCACAAATCAATCACAGTATTTTACGTCCTCTAAAACTTTTAACCCCCTAAGAGTAAAGAATGTCACCCACAAATCAATCACAAATTACAGATCCATCTCGTTCAATCAAGAATAGCGTGGAACAGTCTAATTTAAACCCTGAAAATAAATACAGATTTAGAAAATAAATCGAATTGTTTTTTTTTCCTAGTGGTGATTTGAGAATAAATCAAATTTCAGGATCAGTGGTCAACACGAATCGCGCTTGTGGAAGAACATTTCAGTTTAATGAAATCATTCAGTTTTGAGCAATGCAATTTGTATTTTTGTGTAACACCGAGGCGTGGGTTTAAGAAATATTATCCCCCACGTATTGTATTCGTGTTTTATGATGTGGTGTGGGTTTCACAATTTGGGCTTTTTTTTTGTACAAGCATATACACATCTCCCGTCGAAAGGCAACACCTAGTAACTCACTTTTTTCTTATTTTGCGAAACAAAGGAAAACGTAATGGATGAATATTAAACCCCAGCGTATCCATTGACTTGACTATTGAGTTACTAGGTTTTTCTGTGGTATACTAGGCAAATGAAGGAAGTTGCTAGGTTGTGTCATGAGTGTAACTGCTTACAAAATGAAAAGATCGGAATATCTAGTACAACAACAGGAAGCACACACACTAGTAACTACAAATTTGGTTCTAACTCAATTTTGATAAAAAATAAAAATGAGTTATTATAGGTATTGCCTTATGACGGGAGAAATCTATACTAGTATTTGTGACTATCGCTTGTCTGTTTGTCTGTCAGCCTGACGGCTACACCAGGGCTCTCCCGAGGCTGAAATTTGGTGTATAGGGGTAGCTTGGACCGGGGAGAAACATAGGATAGATGACGTTGACCTTACCGCTTTCCGGTTTCGGAGTTACGGACACAACCAGGGCATCGCCGGGTTATCCGCCGAGTTATCCGCAATATTTATCCTATTCTTATAATTCGAATTATTGCGAAATATTGGTAAATCTGATTATCAATTTTAATTGTCAATTTCGATCATAAACTCTAAATCATCTGAACACCCCCAACAAGATAATGACCATTAGATCGGATATTTTAAGAATTCCTACTGTTTTTAAAATTCCTGAGCTATAAGCAATGGTATGATTTTATCTCCCGTGCACCACAAAGAAGCCTAACCGAAATGGAACCGCACAGGGAGGGCTGTTTCAGAAAGGTTCAAGTTTATGAGAGACGGTAAAAACAAAATAAATAACCATACACACAACTCTGAAATAAATTCTTTAAAAAACGATCGCCGAAAAAAAATATTCAAGCTGAAATTTAATTTTATATTAAAGAATTTTGTCAAGGTAAAATTTGATTTTATATAATAGAATTTAGTCAAACATTCTTTAATTTGATGCAAACAAAAACACAGACTCAAATCTTCTGTCAAAACTCAATCGTGGTCAATGAAAATTAGATATAAAAGAATATTTACCCTTATAGAAACTTTCGTTCTGTTGAACTCTTGATAAACCGTCCGTAAAATCCCTCCCTATTCTCCATCGATGCGATCAGCAAGGTAACGTGGCATCGCGATTCAAATAAGATTCCGCCAGCATGTTAAAAACCAATCGGTACACAGTCACCATAACGAATGGCCATCATTCTATTCTGTCATTGAAGTAGGTCCAATCGATATAAACAGCTCTGCTATGAAAAGGGACGGCTAACGGCTTACAATATGGAAATATCCTTATTAGCCCTTTGATTATTTCGTTATACATGTACATATGTTGTCTAAACATGGTGTAATTTCCAATACAAAGCAGCTTTGATTATAAAATAGGAATAACTGTAAAGACTTTGTTGTGTAATGGCGAAATGAAAAAAGCTCAATATCAGCACGCCTCTTTTAATCTTTATTAGTAAAGAGCAGTAAATAATATGATTTTAAAATAGCACAATTTCTGAAAAGAAAAGCCTTTTTTAATATTGTATAATAAACTGACAACTTTATGGATATCATTTATAGGTTTATTAACTGCAACGTTTCAATGAGGATATTCTCACCGTTATCAAGCATGAGGGTATCCTCATTGAAACGTTACAGTTAATAAATCTAGTCAATGTTATCCATAAAGTTGTCAGTTTATTATAATATATCCCGTTCACTAAATGCCCTTCAAAGATAGTAAATATGCATCTTATATTGGCATGATTTGTTTTGTCTGTCTCTTATCGTACAGTTCTCCTTAATTGTTTGGGAACGTCGACGGATTAGTGAGTTAGGTATTGGTACATTAAGCAAGGAACCCGGGGTTGGCCGAGAGAAGGTCCCTATGGATGTTCCACCGTGGATCCCCGCTTATCAGTAGGATGGGTGGACATGCAAGAATCAGCGTCTAGTCGTTCTGATGGAGAGAAAAAACCAAAGTGCCGTGAACACACTGGCATGTACATTATATGTACAGAATACATAGCAATCGGAAAGCGAGGAAGAGGAGGCTTGAAAACCGCTGTCCGGGTACAATATACATCATAGCATACTTCATAGCACACTGTATAGCGTATGTTTCGTCTTCATTAGCCCGGTTGGTGCAGAACAGTAGGATGTTAAATCACATATAATTTCATTTCCTTCAAGGACAAATCAATTTTCTCTTAAGGTTATATGTTTTCCTCGTGGGGGGTGGGTGGGGTGTGGGGGGGGGGTGGAGGGGGGGGGGCGAATGGATAGCGCGTGTGGGTTGTATCATGAGGTCTGTCATTGAGTCAACTGGCGTGACAAGGAGTAGGGTCGCCTGTCCAACCTCGTGGGTTTCCTCCGGGTCCTCCAGTTTCCACCCACTACTAAAGAATCCTACGCGCATGCGAATTATTGAAATAAAATTGAACCATATGTTAGTCCCGAAATTACGTAGTTTGTGTTGAATGAACGTTACCCCCCCCCCCTCCCCCTCTCTCTGTATTCTATATTACCTAAAATCTAAAAATCTAGTGTTGTTAGACTAAATGCATAAATCACTTTTAGTTCAACGTCAAATTTTTCCTATGTTTTGAATACACGTTGAACATTCCTCTAACAACGTACAGAGCGTGGGCATGCGCTTTTTATTTATATATAGAGGATATTTGTCGTTTTAGAGTGAATAACATATTGTATTTCATCGAGAAGCAAGAAAACTTATATTTTCACGAATGCGTAGCATGAGTGAAAATATAAACGTTTTCTTGCTTAGAGATGAAATAAAATATGTTATTCACGACAAAACGACAAATGTTCTATTTATTTTATGATTTTACAATCATTTTAGGTATTTCACTGCTAGCCAGTGGAATAACACTTTTATTTCACTGATAAAACGCGGTATTACACTACTGATCATAAAATAAAACACAATATCTGTTACACCTAAACTGAATGAGAACAAAGTTACCAGTTACATGTCGATTTGTGTGGTAATCCAATTCTAAATAAGGTCATAGCCTCTAGATGTCTATAAACGTCACTAAATTCTGTGATCTGAAATTGATGACTGGAAGTCCATACATAAAGATAGCCTCATTACGGGTAAATCCAAATTCAAATATAAAAGAAGCCCACAGATTCTGTCTTTGGTTTGTGATTGGTCGGGATAAGATGGCGTTCTTCCTCATTCCAGCAGTATAAATAAAACCCTATAATTACTTTATTTAAACACGAAGTAAAGTGGGCTCATATTTTTCATAAATCAATCTGGCTTACGTCAGACAAATATCACATGATGGGCGACATATATAGCTATTTATAGTTATACTGTCCACGTGATTTGATAGGTTTCTGATCACGTGAAGGGGTCGTTCATGTGGGCGTCAACGTGTACACGGGACCTCGGGTTTCCGTTCCGCTCGAACGACTATAGACACTGTTCCTTGCCATGCCCCCGCCTTGGACCAATGACACAGGGAAAGTCCCAGCCAGGAACACGTGGTGAATGAGCTAACGCCTTACTAATCCACTGTGGCCCCTGTTATAAATTTGACAATATGCCCAGGTATGTTTGAAGTATTGTGTAAGTCTATTTTAATTCCCAATGTGTAAATTTAGAGAAAAGAAAGGAAGCGGTATGACGTTTCGTCAAAACCACATTTTCTGAGACTAACACATCAGAGAAATATTGACCGGACAACAACGTTTCGATCTTATACTCTTCTTCGAACGGCATGGTTTGGGGCTTTTTTTGTGGTGTTTTTCAGAGTTCCAAAAGTTACTGGAAATAAAAAAATACCATTTTTTCATAAATTTCTTGTCAGACCCCATTATCGCCCTGTGCGGTACCGCATTCCACAAGATTTTAGAGTGTTTTTGGTCAGAATAATTTTGATATTGTTTTTGATCTGTGGTGTTTTTCACTACATTAGTTCCACAAGATTTGTGACTTATAAAAATATTCAATTAATAATTTACCTTCTACGCCCATAAAAACAATTCTACTACTCAGGTGGGGGGTTGGATGGCTTAGTGGTTAGCCCTTGCGCGGTGTATCATTAAGGAGTAGGGTCGCCTGTCCAACCTCGTGGGTTTTCTCCGGGTCCTTCGGTTTCATCCCACTGCTAAAGACCCCTACGCGCAAGCGAATTATGGAAATAAAATTGGACCATATGTTAGTCCCGAAATGACCTAGTTTGTGTCGAGTGGACGTTAAACCCCATTTCTCTCTCTCCCCCACTACTCAGGTACTACTACATTAGATTGGTGTCGACAATAAGGATGTAAAATACCATTTCATTTCTATTGTACTAGAGTTTTAACTAAGACTATACAGACTCGTCTTCAATAGAACATAATACCGACTAGAATACAATGAAAAACCCAACACATCCTGGATCAGATAACAGGGTTTTATATAATCAAGGTTGTCTGTGTTTGACATTTGTATAAATCACACCCTTCTCATGTGCGATAAAAAAGTCAAAGGTTTCATAAAGCTATATTTTGAATCTTTTTAAAGAAAAAGTTATTTTTAATTAATCGTGATGTGGATGATATAGAGAATCTCCTACCAGTCTTTTTTTACTTTATCAACGAGTGTTGATATTTTTTATATCAAAAAAGACGAGTAGGAGATTTTATTTATCACCCAATCCCTTCTTACATGCACAAATAGATAAATATAATTCTTTGCTGTAGATTTCACTTTTACTGAACATTACGGCGTAGTAATACATCATTTTTTGACAGCAATTCAACCATTGCAATGTCCTTTATATTGACCCAGTGTTTCCATCAAGGTCAATTGAATAACAATAGTTCTTTTTTAATTAAAAAAAAAAGGTACTTTTAATAAGAAATGAACTGTTCTTTAAAAATAAAAAAAAAGTAGTTCCGTTTTAACTGACCAATCAAATACATGTAAAGCAATATTTCCTAAGGAGATATCGCAGTAGATTATGAATTATATCACATAAGCGATATCTACTGTAGAATGTATTATTGGGTGATAAATTACAATATAAAGTATTGGTTTGTAGAATTTGGTGATATCAGCAAATTTTACTTTTAATCACCAGCTAGAGGAAAAATAAAATGTAATGAAGTGGGGTTTAACATGCTGCTTTTCTGCCTGACAAGGACAACTGTCTAGTCGTTCGGATGGGACCAAAAAACGAGGTCCTGTGTATACATTGGCGTGCACGTAAAAGATCCCTCACAGTTTGAATTCGATATAAGAGTAGGCCGTAGTTCCGCTGTTCGGGCAAAATTTCCCTCATAGCACACTGTATGGCGTATGCCCGTCTTCATTAGCCCAGTTTGAAGCAGAACAGTAGGACGTTAAACCCCATTTCATTTTCTGCTTTTCTGCAACTGGAATAATGAAGACGGATATACGACGTGTAGTGTGTCACGAGGGAGTGATTGCTCGGGCAGCAATGTTGCCGCCTGATCGTTGTCGAATTGCAACTGTCAAGTCGTTTTTGACGTCCACGTGTTAACCACGTTTTTTACCCCATCCACTGATGTTCTACCGTGGTTCTCAATATGTTTGGGTAATCGCGGTTACAAGTTACTCGTCGTAACAGATTGTTTCATTGGTTAATCCCTCACTTCAACCAGAACGCGGGTTATATAACAACTCTTCCACATCCTAGTGTAGTAAAGACAACTATAACGAAATTTTGAACTATAAAAAAAGAAACGAAATAGGACTTGTGTTTTAATTAGACTGAAATCTGAATATAGCACCCGCACTGAATGTCTAAATGGTGGATGTGTAGATGGGCAGATATAAAAATATCAATAACTAGGACACCAGGAGAAGAAACATACGGATATAAAGACATTGAAAGTTAGTTATGCGGGACCATTTTATAATTTTCTGTAGAAATATGAAGTTATGTAGAAGAATTATGTTTTAAGATACATATGATAATGTCATGCCTATATATGGTTACACGCGCAATACGGGGTAAAAATAATCGTATCCGGACGTCCTTCTCCGATGTTAATTATCTAATGAAACTAAAATACCTAGGGTCTACATGTTTTTGTCACTACCTTTTAACAAGCGAACGTCGTCGTAAAGCCTAAAACTCAATTTTCAAAATCACTGAAATACAAAATGAAATGTGATGGGTTTTTTAAACGTCCTACTGTTCTGCTCCGAACTGGGCATGAAGGCGGGCATGCGTCATACAATGTGCTTTGAGAGAAATTTCGTCTGGACAGAGGCACTGCGACCTACCTTTTTTTTTTTTATCGAATTACAACTACCAAGTACACAATATCTCTGTTTTCGTCCCACCCGAATGACATGACACTGTGTTTTCACCAAAGGCAGAGAGGAACCCGCACCGGAAAATCCCGAGGAACTTCATGGTTACCAAGACTTCATGGTTAACGAGCCAGCGTCTTACTCACT